CACCAATATAGCATACTAACGTATATATGGAATTTAGAAAGATGGTAACGATAACCTTATATGCAAAACAGAAAAAGAGACACAGATGTACAGAACAGACTTTTAGACTCTGTGGGACAAGGCGAGGGCAGGATGTTCTGAAAGAATAGCATTGAAACAAGTATACTATCAAGGGTGAAACAGACCACCAGCCAAGGTTGGATGCATGAGACAAGTGCTCAGGGCTGGTGCACTGGGAAGACCCAGGGGGATGGGATGGGGAGGGAGGTAGGAGGGGGGATCGGGATGGAGAACACATGTAAATACATGGCTGATTCATGTCAATGTATGGCAAAAACCACTACAATATTGTAAAGTAATTAGCCTCCAACAAATAAAAATAAATGAAAAAAAAATAAAACAAAATAAGAAACAAAAAAACAAAAGAGGCCATTGAGGAAAGGTGCTTCCTTGGAAAATGAGCTGTATGGAGACTCAATTTTATACTACAATTTAAATCCATAAAATGCCTTTAAATAACTCACAGTTGGTGGAACTATACAGACAAAGGGATGTACAGGCATTTTGGAAGTTGACATTTTCCCACCAAACCACAAATCTGGAAGATGTATTTTTCCCAGTGCCTGTGTGGATGTTATTGACAGTTTTCTTTGCTCTGCCTCACCCCTTCAGTTCCCAAGGAGTTCATAATTTTGGTCTGTTTTATCAGCTTATCTCGGGCTTCCCTGGTGGCACAGATGGTAAAGAATCTCCCTATAATGCAAAAGACCTAGGTTCAATCCCTGGGTGGGGAAGATCCCCTGGAGGAGGACATGGCAACTCATTCTAGTATTCTTGCCTGGAAAATCCCATGAACAGAGGAGCCTGCTGGGGGTCACACAGGGTCGGACACGACTAAAGTGACTTAGCAGATACACATCAGATCCTCTCAGCTTGTGCTATCTTCTGGCATCTGTACACTCTGATTCTGCTGAACTGGCTTCTAAATCATTATGATTGTCCTGACCCTTAATGTTGAGTATCCTCTGAAAATCCACATGTTGAAGCCCTAACTTCCAGTACTCCAGAATGTGATTTTTTGTGGAGACAGTCTTCACCAGGGTAATGACGTTAAAATGAAAACATTAGGGTGGGCCAAAATTCAACATAACTAGTATTTTTATAAAAGGGGGAAATATGGACACAGAGACATGCATAGGAAGAAGAGGATGTGAAGAAACATGGGGAGAAGATGTTTATCCACAGAACAATGAACAAGACCTAGAATAAGATCCTTCCTTCATAGTAGAATGAAACCCTAATGATAATATTGGGTTTCTAGTTTCCGGAACTCAGATAATAAATTTCTCTTGTTTACGGGACCCAGTCTGTGCTATATTGTTACAGAAGCCCTAGCAAACTAATATGCTTACCATTTAACAAAGAAATAGATCCCCATTTTTATACTTGGTTTGACTTATGACTTTGTCTCCTAAGATCCACTCACCTCCTCATCATGGTAAATAGCCAAAAAAGCAAAATATCCTAAGATTTGTGTCCTATTTTTATCACTTAAATTGAATGACTTTTCTGATCCTTAGATTCCTTATATAAAAAGTACGGACACTACCCCTGCCCTACTTATCTGTCTACATAGATAAAGCTGAGACAGGGTACCACATAGAGACGGTAAATCTCTACCCAAGTCTAAGACAGCCTGAGTCCTGCTGTTTATTCGTAATAAGCTATTCCTCTTGCCTAATCATAGCAGAACAGAAAGAGCTACAGGGCTCTTTGAGAGGATCAAGCTCAGAAGTCTCCACTTTTAACAGAGGTCCAACCTCAGACTTTATTTGTGCTATTTCCAGTTCAATAGGCAGGATGTGAGCCGATGAATAAGGAACTGCTTTGTTCAGGAATGTGAGGTGATGCTTCAAAATTTCACTATTCACAAATCTCCGGAGGGTTTAAAAGTAATTTCTCCGACATATTGATTTTGTTAAGGTAATAAGTTATAGAAACTAAGACTTTTCAGAAATATATAAGGGAAGGAGAACTTCAGTGGCACATCAAACTGTGTTAACAAAATTTGAGTCTATCGAATGTGATTTTTCCTTTTCGGTTGTTCTGTGAAATTTGTGGGATCTTAGTTGCCCAACCAGGAGCTGAACCTGGGCCCTGGGCAGTGAAAGTATGGAGTCTTAATCACTGGACAGCCAGGGAATTCCCATTGTATGTGATTTTAAATTTGAAAAACTTAAATGTAGGATGCTAGCTGCTTTCCAACATATTTTGTATGTATCTTTGTCTGCTTTTAAAATGATTTTGTTGAAAAATGGATGCTTCTATAATAATTAACACTTTTATAAAATTAATTATAAAAATATAACTTACTCTCAAATAGTTTACATTTTAGTTGCATAAATTCTTATCTAGTCTCAAACGCTGCTCAAAAGAACTACATTTAAAAAAATGACTCTACCCTTTTCAGTTCTCTAGAATGCCTCCAGATGGCATTAAAACCCTTTCCTATTTTATATAGTAAAAAAATTAAAAATTAGTAATATTTTAACAATTTAAAACCAGTCACATTCATTATATCATTAGAAATCATGACAATAGAACCATTTATAACTTTTAGGATAATACCTTAAGAAAGACCAGCAAATAATCACAATCTTTATGAAATAAATAGTCATCCTATGCAAGCCAAAGACTCCTCCTAGACTGAGAAACCACATCTTGGACAAATACACTCAATAATGTTATATCACAAGCTGTCATTTCTAATGGCTAGAAAGCACTTTTTTTAGAAAGCACTTTAAATGCTTACCAGTGAAGAACACTGGTCCAAATATAAATATATTCACAAAACTGTCTTATAATAAGAAATCACATCTAACTCCTCAGAAATGATAAAAATAATGATTTTTAAGAAAAAAAACCTGTTACTAATTCCTATTCAGCCAAAATAATTTGTTAGTTCATGAGTTATGTAAACTTTGGCACATAGATTTGGCATCAAATTAATCATCAAAATATTTTTCGACTGCTTGAATATTGAGAGGAGAAAGATGAAATGTGGAATGAAGAACATGTTTAAAAAGAGCCTTTTCTGTCAATCACCTGTAAAAGAATGAAACTAGAACACTTTCTAACACCATACACAAAAATAAACTCAAAATGGATTAAAGATCTAAATGTAAGACCAGAAACTATAAAACTCCTAGAGGAGAACATAGGCAAAACACTCTCGGACATAAATCACAGCAGGATCCTCTATGACCCGCATTCCAGAATTTTAGAAACAAAAGCAAAAATAAACAAATGGGACCTAATGAAACTTAAAAGCTTTTGCACAACAAAGGAAACTATAAGCAAGGTGAAAAGACAGCCCTCAGATTGGGAGAAAATAATAGCAAACGAAGCAACAGACAAAGGATTAATCTCCAAAATATACAAGCAACTCCTCCAGCTCAACTCCAGAAAAATAAATGACCCAATCAAAAAATGGGCCAAAGAATTGAACAGACATTTCTCCAAGGAAGACATACAGATGGCTAACAAACACATGAAAAGATGCTCAACATCACTCATTATCAGAGAAATGCAAATCAAAACCACAATGAGGTACCATTACACACCAGTCAGGATGGCTGCTATCCAAAAGTCTACAAGCAATAAATGCTGGAGAGGGTGTGGAGAAAAGGGAACCCTCTTACACTGTTGGTGGGAATGCAAATTAGTACAGCCACTATGGAAAACAGTGTGGAGATTTCTTAAAAAGCTGGAAATAGAACTGCCATATGACCCAGCAATCCCACTTCTGGGCATACACACCGAGGAAACCAGATCTGAAAGAGACACGTGCACCCCAATGTTCATCGCAGCACTGTTTATAATAGCCAGGACATGGAAGCAACCTAGATGCCCATCAGCAGACGAATGGATGAGGAAGCTGTGGTACATATACACCATGGAATATTACTCAGCCATTAAAAAGAATTCATTTGAATCAGTTCTAATGAGATGGATGAAACTGGAGCCCATTATACAGAGCGAAGTAAGCCAGAAAGATAAAGACCATTACAGTATACTAACACATATATATGGAATTTAGAAAGATGGTAACGATAACCCTATATGCAAAACAGAAAAAGAGACTCCGATGTATAGAACAGACTTGTGGACTCTGGGAGAAGGCGAGGGTGGGATGTTTCAAGAGAACAGCATCGAAACACGTATATTATCTAGGGTGAAACAGATCACCAGCCCAGGTTGGGTGCATGAGACAAGTGCTCAGGCCTGGTGCACTGGGAAGACCCAGAGGGATCGGGTGGAGAGGGAGGTGGGAGGGGGGACTGGGATGGGGAATACATGTAAATCCATGGCTAATTCATTTCAATGTATGACAAAAACCACAGCAATGATGTAAAGTAATTAGCCTCCAACTAATAAAAATAAATGAAAAAAAAAAAAAAAAGAAACGGAAAAAAAAAAAAAAAGAGCCTTTTCTTATCTTTTTACAACTGTGTTTGTTAACTCAGAAACATGAATAAACCATGGTCCAGAGATGTCTATAATTGTATGTTTCACATACAACCTCAGAGGTGAGGTTGCAAAGGGCGGGCTTTAAAATGACCCTGGTACTTCCCAGGTGTGTAGGACAGATAATCTCCCAGTATGTGAGAAATGTTCTCCAATTATTTATGACAGTGATAGAAGTTGCTGAGCAAGTTCCAAAACCTCTCCTCCCCTCCTCCACCCCATAATACCATCAAATCTCATTACATCTGTACATTATAAAGAGGAGCCTTGTGTTTTCAAGATTACTCTTACTGGGCTAAAGCATTAGAAAGACCTCAAAATGCAACTGCATCCAAAAGCATTTAAGCAGGCATTATCATGAGAAAGAGAACCACAGACTTCCTTCCATTATTATTACTATAACAAGATATTTGCGCTATTTTGTATTATAAGCATATTAAAGAACTTGGGATAGAAACAGGAAAGAGACTTACGATGTATTCGATGTGCCATTGTCTGGACTCTCTGGCTCGGCATCACCTTTCTCTTAAAAAAGGAAGCAGAAAAAAAAAAACCAACATATGAGTGTTACAGCCTTTAAGATTTAAGAGAGATTCAATATTAACAATCATTCAAAATGTGCAGCAGGAGGCTTTAAAAACATCTTTTTATTGTCCAAGAACTGGATTTGCAAAATAGTTTCTTCTCTGTAATACAACTGCCTGGGCATGGATCTATGAATAGGTGCGAAGGAGCTGTTTGCAAACAACCAGGGCTCAGAGTAGAGACCCTGCCAAGAGATGAATCTCTTACAGATGGAACCTGTTTTCTTCCCCTTCATTTTACAGAAAATTTCAGGAAATAAACCCCATTAGCATTCTAGATGCAAGGCACTTTGATCCTTTCTGCCATGTGCATGCTCAGTCACTTCAGTCGTGTCCGACTCTTTGTGACCCTATGGCTCCCCTGTCCATGGGATTCTCCAGGCAAGAATGCTGGAGTGGGTTGCCATTCCCTCCTCTGGGGGATCTTCCCGACCCAGGGATTAAACCTGAGCCTCTTATGTCTCCTGCATAGGCAGGCGGGTTCTTTACCACCAGTGTCACGTGGGATGGTGGTGTTTAGCTTGTGTTTAGCCCTAACACAAGCTAAACCAGGTGGGCACACCAGAGCTTGGACAAGAGGACTGTACACAACACTGAGGCTGCACCCCCCGCTTACGAGATCCCCAAGAATGACACTCCTCAGACAGCCCTGGCAGCAGATTCTGGGGTCACCCTGTTAATGCAGAGTAAGATGCAAATCAGAAATCCTTCCTGACCATCTGAGAGGCCACTTAAGCCATGTTTCTGCCATGTGTAGTCAAGGATTGAATGGGTCCATTTTTTGGAGTTTTAAAGGGCAAATTCCTCTTACAGCAGATATAATTCTTAGATCCTCAACCACTGATGGTTTGAAACTATACATCCTCACATTACAAGGTGTTTCGTTTTATTTCCTTGAGGCTAGGAGACAGAAGAAGGGCTTCCTAGGTGGTTCAGTGGAAAAGAATTCACCTGCCAAGCAGGTGACATGGATTTGATACCGGGGTTAAGCAGATCCCCTGGAGCAGAAAATGGCAACCCACTCCAACATTCTTGCCTGGTAAGTTTCATGGACAGAGGAACCTGGCGGGCTATCATCCACGGGGTCACAAAGAGTTGGACACAACTGAGCAACTAAACAACAACAACAGAGGAGACAGAAGGTCACGACTGCCATTGTGAGTTAGCTGTGGTTACGCACCGCTAATAGTTTAACAAACCCCAGACGAGATTATGAGTTGCAAGAGATGGGACTGAAGGTGGCAACTTGCTTTATTTTGCTATTTCAGGTCAGGCCTGGAGACCTCATAGAATCCCTCAGTCTATCGTTAAGGACTTCAGGTTTATGCCCTCTACCAAGCCCCTTTTTGAAACCTATCAGGAACAACCGCCTAAATCACACGATGAACACATTCCAAAGACACTGTCCAAGCTGAACGCAAAAGTAAACTTCTTTTTTCCTTACAGGAAAAGGAACAGTTGTGAGAGAAGGAAGACCGTTATATATGGTCCACACATCTATCTCAGATGTGACTCTGCGCTAACAAGTGCCTACATAGTGCTTTGGAGCCGCCAGGAAGGGCGGCCACTTTGTAAGAAAAGCCACAACACCTGTTTACCTGCCTCAACGGCAAACACTGGTCAGACAGAGCCCCAAAACACAGGAAATCATGGTGAAGTAAAAGTAGAGACAGCAAATTAATAAACTTTGAAGCTCATATTTCCGTATCATATTTTGTCTTTCAGGCCAGATCTGTTGTGAACTCATTGAGAGACAGGCAAGACCTTGTCAACTACTTTCATGCTAGAAAACAGCCTAATTTAGTAGCTTCTAGAATTACTTTCCAATAAGTAACCACAATTCCTGCCAGAATCCCCAAATACAGTGTTACAATCGCTGCATTAACTAAGACAAGTAGAGACAACTAGCTGCTGCTGTTGTTCAGTTGTGTCCGATTCTCTGCGACCCCCATAGACTGTAGCCCCCCAGCCTCCTCTGTCCTTATCAAGATTGCTGGGTGAAACATCAACAACCTCAGATATGCAGATGATACCAGTTTAATGACAGAAAGTGAAGAGGAACTAAAGAGACTCTGGATGAGGACAAAAGAGGAGAGTGAAAAAGCTGGTTTAAAACTCAACGTGAAAAAGACAACTAGACGGAGGTTTAATTTTTCTTAAACACCGTGACTTTTCCCCCTTTCATTTGGAGAAACTGGTTATGTTTCCTGGTCTGCAGCCACCAGAAGTCACCCCACATCTCATCATCATCAGGAACGTGAACAGCAGGCAACAGTAAACATTTCTGAACAAATTACGTCAAAACAAAATCAATACGCTATATGAATACATTATTTGGATGCTTGAATAAATATGTTTTACCTTGATCAACAATGCTGCCAGATAACCCGTGGGCTGGGGGACAGAGGCCTTACTGCACCTGGGATCTGGGGGCTGCAGGGATCAGGGGCCGGATCAGCGCAGGCACAGAGCTGCAGCTGATTACCTCTGCTCTTAGGAGCGCTTATGTTGTGGCAACGGGGAAAACAGAACAGTTTCTGGCAAACAGGAAGGATGCAACAGGGCCAAATGAGGCATTTGTGAACAGTCTGGGAGTGAATGTTCTCAGCTGATCATGAATTAACCTTTCTGGGGGAAAAGTAAGCTCAGGATAGGGTCAGGAATGAAAACTATGTCTGTTCATCAGAAAGAATGAAACACAAAATTCTCCCCCAATATCTGGAAATTTTAGATGATGCAATTTCTGAAGTTAACTTGAAATGTCCTACAAGCCAGGAAGAATCATAGGCTCTTTACCAGGACCCAAGGGAAAAATGATGAATGTAAGCCAGAAAAAATGCTCAGGAAGAGACTTTTCAGTTGGGTGCTCAGGAGACGTTTCCTTGCCACCACCAAAGAGGACTACTGGGGGTTGTTCTGACTATTTCAGCTGATTTCACAATAGATTCCACATTGCTGTCCTTTGGAAGGGACCTGAATTGATCTTTTGAAGACACTAGGCATAAGAGATGGACTCAGGTGCATCACGGTCATCTTGATGAGGAAATATAATTACAGATAGGAAGAGAGAAAAAATGAGCCATAGAAAGAAAAATTATATACACACATACACATATATGTATACATATTTATACTCACACATGTAAATAGGTATATACATGCATATCTATATTATTTGTGTTTTTTCTTTTAAAATTTACTTTTAATTTTTTATGTTGGAGTAACAATGTTGTGTTAGTTTCAAGTGTATAGCAAAGTGATTCAATTGTACAGATACATGTAACTGAAGCTGAAACTCTGGCCACCTGATGCGAAGAGTGACTCACTGGAAAAGACCCGGATGCTGGGAAAGATTGAGCGCAGGAAGAGAAGTGAGCAACAGAGGACGAGACGGATGGATGGCATCACCAACTCAATAGACATGAGTTTGAGCAAACCCCGGGAGACAGTGAAGGACAGGGAAGCCTGGCGTGCTGCAGTCCAAGGCATGGCACAGAGTCGGACACGACTGAGCAACAGCATTCTTTCTCAGCTTCTTTTCCTGTTTAGGTTGTTACATAACGTTGAGTATAGAGTTCCTATGCTATACAGCAGGCTCTTGCTGGTTATCCATTTTCAATATAGCGATGTGTCCATGTTAATCTCACATGTGTTCTTTCAGCTTGATTTGTCTTCCATAGGACCAAGCACATATTACACACTCAGTCTATGTCCGCTGTCTGATGACCTTGCATTACTGCAGAATCCCACGCTATAGTGGGAAAGAGGGGAGTGCTGCACCTGCACGTTCCACTGAGGTGAATACAGACTCTGGCGTGTGAAAGTTTCGAATCTCCAATAGGCCACTTAAAAAGTTACAGTAGCTACATGTTTAATCCAATAAATGTACCAAGGGCTTAAATGGTGTGTACTCTGTCTGGAAAGATAGGTAATATCTAATTTAACTGAAAATGACTGTACTGTTGGAGTACTGCACTCTACATAAGTTGTACTGTGAAAAGGAAATCAAAATAGACCTGGGCTGCATTCTGCTTGGAAGGAAACTTATGCTTTACTACAACATTTCTTTATAATAAAAGTAATCTGTGCTCATGGTAACAACCATTATGCTAAATAATACACTTATTTTTAGATGAGTCAACTTCAGAGACTACATAATAATTTCTAATATGAAAAATGAGAGAAGAGAAAATTTAAGATACATGACCACCTCCCTTCTTACAATTGTTGCCAGTTCTTTAACTATTTTTAATGTCTGTGCTGTGCTTAGTCACTCAGTTGTGTCCGACTTTTTGTGACCCCATGGACTGTAGCTCGCCAGGCTCTTATGTCCATGGGGATTCTCCAGGCAAGAATACTGGAATGGATTGCCGTGACCTCCTCCAGGGGATCTTCCTAACCCAGGGATCAAACCCAGGTCTCCTGCGTTGCTTTACCATCTGAGCCACCAGGGAAGCCCTTTTAATGTCTAGTGGGTATTTTAACTTTAAGTAAATTTAATCTTCTATTTTTTGATTAATCAGCTTCTGACAGTACTTTTTCTTTTAGACTATGTGAAGAAGCTCCCCCCATTTATTCTTCCCTCCTGCTCTCCCCTCCCTCTATCACATCCTACTCTGCACAGCTACACCTTTCTTCCTGCATAGCTGAGGTTTAAAATATTTATACTCTGTTCAGTATTATTGAGTCATCTCATTAATATTAATTTAATTAATAATTTAATTTTGGGAAGTGCCTATAGGCCAATGAGAAAAATTATATATGATATAGAATTTATAATATAGTAACAATATAAATATTAGTGTCTAAGAAACAGTTAAAAGACTGGACCTGTGCAGAAGGACTGCCACTAGACTTGAATGAAGGCAAGGATTCCCAGCATCTATGTCAAATGGATTCTCATTCTTATATCTCACTGTGGCATAGATTAATCTATCTCAG